AGGGTTTAGGGTTAGGTTTATTAATAAATGAGTATATGTGGGTTTTATAGGCTCTAAGAGTGGGCATGAGAGGTCCCCAGTTTCATTTTGATCAGATTTCGTTTTGATCTGCGACAATAATTAATGATTAATATTTAATGCTTAATAATTAGTAATTATAATTAATGGTTAACACTATGCTTAGCTGCAATGATTAGTAATTAGCTCTAAAGATATAAAAAAGTTATAAATTTTTTCAAGTAGACATTAAACCTGTTTATCATCCAAATAGATACAAACTTACCTCTTTACTTGAATTCTCTCTTATAATATTATAAGATTCTTTAGGAATAGAAATCTAAGGATAGTCTATTTTATTTATCTTAATAAATATATATTTTTATCTATAAATTATTGTCTACTCAAACTGCTATAAAGAGAAGAGTATAGTTTCTAATTGAAGTAGAAATTATATTTACTTCTTGGACATTGCTATAAATCTGTAAAGGACCCTTATAGCAGTGTCATTATTATAATACTGCTATTAAAAAGCTATACTACTATAACAATATAGTTTGAATATCTAAATAAAAAGAATAAAATTACTAAATTATAAAAAAAATTAACTTGTTTAATATTTTTAACTAAATTAAATTTACAATATTTATTATATAAATATTATTAAAATTGGTAAGTTGTCATACCTCCAAGTGGCAGAACAAAAGTTCGAATTCCACTGGTGACGAAATTCAAATTTGCGAAAATGCATTATAGTAAAACTGTATGACATATCGATTGGATTAGCATCTGTAACCTTGGTCTCACTAACTCATATTGGAAGGTTATAGAACATAGTGTAACAAATGAGTTGCATGAATCCCAGATGAAGTAGCCAAATAAATCCAAGAGATTAGGGGATACAGAAGCTTACTTGAAAAGTTCTGAGTAAAGAGATAATACAGATCTTTAATGGTACTACGTAAAGAACTATCATCTGGAAAACCAGATATCAAAGATGAACTGAATAAGGATCGAGTGTTTGGCAAGCACTACATCAATCAGGCTGCTGGATAATTAAAGGAAAAGGATTCATTTGAAATATTAGGAAACATCTACTGATTTCTCCCAGGCTATCTGAATTAGAAGTTTGGAGCACCAATAGTTGGTATTGAAGTACTGTTGATAGTCTGTAAAGTGGATGCTGAGGTTTGGGTGAACTTTGCAAAGGCAAGGAGTAAGTGATGGTAGCAGAGGTAAAATATCAAAAGTACTTAGCTGTGGCCTAGGCATAAATTACTGAAAATTTAGATAATATATATATAGAACATGACTGCTCTAGTAGGTTTATCATGAAGATAAAGAACCCTCCTATATGGTAGTGTATGTCTGCTTTAAAGTTCTAAGGGCTTTTACAGCAGTTTCTCTTTGAGGAGAATATCCCAATAGTACTAAGTTGATCAGTGAATTTAATTAGATAACTCAAGTAATAGTGAGTTATAGGTACAGCATCTAGTGTAGTACTTAATAATAGAGAATTACTTAATTAGATGCTCAAAAGACACAGATATGGCTAGAATATATCCTCGTTAATGTAACAAAATCAGAGATAGCCTATATAGTTACTCTGGTATTCAATCCAAAGTTTAATAAAATGTGCCAAACCTCCAAGTGGTCACCTTAATATTAAAAAAATAAAATAAAATAAAATATTTTACTTATTACAAAATAACAATAGTAAATATATTAATTTAAAAATAATATACTGTAATTATAAAAAAAACAACTAATTTAAAAACTATAAAGTAAGAATGTAATGACTTAGTAAAGTAGTGAAGTTGTTATACTTCAAGCAGTCGAGTACAAGAGTATAAGTTCAATTTCTATGAAGAGCAAAAATTGAATTTGGAAAATTAAATATTACAACTATTGTTGTGACAGAAAAAACTTGAAACTTTGTAACTGTGATTATACCAAGTAATAATTATATTAGAATTGAAAATTCCTTAAGCATTTGTTTAATAAAAGAGTTATACAAAGGTATACAAGCTGGTTTAGTTGTTGCAAACTCAAAATAAGTCTTTAGAGATCACAGAAAGCCAACAGAGCTGATAGAACAGTAGAATACTTGCTTGAATAATAAAGAAAACTTTTAACAATACTATTAAAATAGGCTTTATTCAAGGCTAATATAATTAAATAAGAACTGGATATTTAAAAAAAAATATTCCACCAATCAAACCATCAGAATGCCAGAAAAAAAGAATCTGCAATACAAATACCAAGAGAATGGTGTTCCTTTTAGATCATTTGAATTGGTAGTTTAAAAAGACTAACTAGAAAATATTGAAAAAGAAGATATCAGGTTATTTTGAAAAGAAGTACTAGGATTTAAGTAAACTTTACAAGAGCAGAAGTAGCAGCGATCAAACCATAGTATAGTTAAAATATTACAAAAAAACTAATAAAAATAAACCAACCGAAGGATACTTCTGCTATAGAAACTGGGATGCAAGTAGTGGGTCTCAGGATGTGTATATTAACTGAAGACTGAGTATAGAAGGCTCTAGCAAATAATGTCTCAAGAATGAATTGATTAATAAGCTGGTAGTCCTAAGAGAATAGGTAAAATCTAAGACTTCAATATATCGGAGATGTACTAGTAATACAAGTAGAATTGCATTATAAAAGGTTTAAATAGGTAACACTTGTAATTAGACTACAGGTACAGCATCTAGTATAAAATCTATGATATAAATGTGGGCGGACTATTTCAATTAAACACCAAAAGTATACATGTAGCTAGTTGTACTCTCTAATATAAAGGAAGCTCATTTGTGTAGCAATAGCCATAAGCATCCGCACTCATTACTTGAATAAAAACCTTAAAGCTAGTTTAATAAAAAAAAAAAAACTATAAAATAGAATAGTAAAATATAAAATAAATATATAAATAAAATTATTTTAATTTAAAGCTCAAAATTAAATTTTTAAAAATAAAATTATATTTAAAAAATAAAATTAAAATTTTTAAATAAAATAAATTATTTTAACAACATATATTCTAAATATTTATCAAAAAATCTTAACAAAATATATTAGTATACAGTATATTAGATTAAGAGCATTTATTATACTTGGAATTCTAATTTTTTATCTTTTTTAAAAAAAAAATATATACTCTTTTATATATAAAACAACTATATATATATATAGTTACAAAAAATAATATAAAAACGTAACACGTATATTTTTAATATAATAATTATTTATTGCGGTTATTATCGTTCAGGAAATACTAAACTTTGAAATATCGAATATATTTTAAGAAAAATATTTAAGTCGCATAACTATTTATAAGATCAACGAGACACCTTTCATCAATTACACATAAAAAATAGGAAGGCATAGTCGACGAATATTCACTCGGCAAACGATTTTAATTTTGGCAGCAGTAGGGTAGCACGCACAAGTCAATTACTTACCTGTGGCATAAAATCCGTATTGTAGCAGGAGTGATCTGGACTACGGTACTGCATTGGAGCTAGATCAATTTCATCACGCCAATTATTCTATCAAGAATTGGCGCGAAAATTGTTGTCGGACTAGCACCAATACCTAATATTACTTACCTTTATCATAACGAATGAGCATCACCATTATATCCGTTTTTCCACCTATATGTAATAAAGTTTGGTTAAATACATTGACGATGCTTTGGAATGCATCAATATATAATTTTCGCTAATTTCCTAAATGTCTTAGTAATTAAGCCTCGGTTGCTTATAAGTTTTTTGCCACTACCCATGTTATGCAGAAGAGCAAAAAACAATTTGCACAAGAGTAAAAACTAAAATATTCACTAAAGCAAAAAAAAAAACAAATTGACAATATCCGGTTGAATCCAATAAATGTGATAGGTAATACTCTATATATAGATCTGATATATATATAAACAAACGAATCTTTTTTTTTTGTTGTTGCAAAACAGTAATATCCCTTGCGAAATAACATCTATCAATCAATTCGCTATTCAAAAATTTCTTACACAACGCATTAACAAATTAACTATCCAAATCATTCCACAGGAATGAATATAAAGCCCACAAAATAAAAGATTCTACCAGTATAACTTCATATTCATTCATATGCATTATATCAGTAATACAAACGTCCTTCATGAATATATTTAACTGAAAATTGCTTTCGATTAAAATCTCCGTTAATAAAATAGTACCTCAAACGTGAAATAATTTGATTATATATAAAGTTTTTTTTCGCTATCCATTTTTCTTGCGGAGAGTTTATTTTTTTTGCAAAGGTTCTTTTCCAATAATTTTTTTGTAGTCGAAAGATTCGTCAAAAATTACCCAAATTCCACCTATATTATAATTGGTTGTAATGGTACTTACTTCACATAGAGCTGCTAAATTGGTACTGGCTTAATCCAATGTTGCCTTGTGCATCACGTATAATCACACCTTTAATAACACCGAGTACATCATGTGGTTCAGGCATCGATAGTCGAGGCGCATTGCTAGGACCAGACATAAAATCACTATAATATGTATAACATTATAAATTTATATATAATTTGATAATAAAGAACATTATACAAAATATTTTATATAACAATTATTAACTCACGTTGGTAAAGGTATTGCAGTATGTCTCCCTGGTTGATTCCAATTGAAAGAAGCTAATTGTATTGGAACAGACTGCATTGGATTAGTTTGCGTATCCCAGCCAGCTGATGTAGATACAGTAGAATATTGATAACTCTGGCCATTTGTCGAAGAGTCTTGAGGATATTGAGGAAAATAACCAGGGTAAACTTGTAATTGGTATAAAGTTTAAATAAACAAATAGTATAAATATAAAAGGTTTAATAAATTTAAATAAAGGATTAAATATTTATTACCAGAAGAATATTGTTGATCAGCTGAGTAAGAGGTATAGTCATATCCTGGCTGTGGTGATTGAATAGATGGGTTGGGAACGTTTGGTGGCATAGGAGGCATCGGTGGGGCGTCATAAATAGATGGTGAAGGTTTTGGAGGACCTATTGTTAAAGGAAGCGGTGGACCTCGATGATCTCGAGGATGCCTACTATCATCAGGCCTCCTATCATATGAATCTCTTCTTCTATCATCGTAATTTCGATGATACGAATCATCACGTCTACCCATTTGCGGTCTTTCACGATTAAAAGCTGGAGAAGGGGTAGGAGGACCACGAAAATCTTGTCTACGATCATAATCCCTGCGGGGATATTCGTCACGACGATCTCTATTATAATGCTCATCTCCACGACGTTCTCTATAATCCCGGTCATCACGTGCGCCCCAGTCACGTCGACGTTGACCTTGAGCTTGATTTTGATAAGGTGCATGCCTTGGTGCACCTCTTGATTGCCAGTAACCTCCACGATTCTGACCTCTACCTCTATTACGAGATTGGTCCATGTGTACTGCATGGAGATTGTCCATGACATCGTTTTTATTGATCTGTTCCCACAGACGAAAAACTTGGGCAAGAGCTAAATCCAATATACAAATTTTATAATATAAATTTTATAATACTAGATTAGCTATTTAAAAAATATCATAGAAAAAAAAACTTTAACATCTTCTTACGTTCAGATGGTTTATTAGCATCACTCTCCTCAGTAGAAGGGGTATCTTGCATAACTTCATCAGGGCCAGTACTCTTCAATTTAAGTTCTTCAACAGCATCGGTAAAATTTTTATGTAATGCTGCAGCTTCTTCAAATCTTAATTTTATTATCTGTTAAACACATTTAAAAAGACGTTTATTTGTCAATGAATTAATAAGTAAATTAAAATCAAAAAGAAACATAAATACCTCCGAGTCAGGACTAATATCTTTCAAAGCTTCTTTTCCTCTCTGAATTAAAGTACGAGTGCTTCAGAAAAAAATAAAATATAATTAGATAATAAACATGGCGTTACGGGTACTGTTCTTACTTCATCTAATTCGTTCAAAATTCGATCCCTTGCTGATGTTAGAACAACATCGGTACAATAGAGCTGTAAATCAGCATGTAATTTCTTTCGATCGTTTAATAACTCTTTAATATCTTCTTCAGATTTTGTCGCCAGATTTCCAGTGATATACTAGACAGCCGATCAACAACGAAAGTTTTTAACATTCCCTTTAAGATAGGTGGCATTTATATTGTTTTAGTGTGTTAAAAATACTAATTTTTACCTCTTTACAGCATTCCAAAAGAAGCAAATGAAGAGGTTGTGTTGATTTTTTCATTTGTGTAGGCTTTTTGGGTATGGTGACTTGAGAAGAGATTGGTGGTGGTGGTGGTGGTGTAATTTCAGGTTTGATAGGAGTAGATCCTTCTTTCGCGGATCCAATTGATTGTGTCATTGAGGTAGGTGCTGTTCGATACTGCGGAGGAGGTGCCAGATCGTAACTTGGCTGGGTACTAAAATCTACGGGACGTGGTGACAATCCTGGGGGCGGCGGTTGAACTTCTGCCATCGTTGGCGGTACGGGTAATTGTGACTGTGTTGGATAGTATGGCGGCTGGGGTTGCCTTGGTAATGGTTGCGCACTTAGTTGATCGACATTCATCACTGAAGGTTGCGATATTGGTGATGTCGAGGGGTCAGCCATTAAACAACGTACATACGTACGTACGAAATTTATAGACATTATTTAAAAATTAGCAGGCTCCTCGTGATCAAAAAAAAGTGATTGTTCAATATTATTGGTCAATTCTGGTGTCACTGAAGTTATAGTGTTAACAGTTACTGAAAATGAAATTTTCTCTACCGTTGAGCTGAAAAGTTTAACACATAAGCAACGTACGTACGTATGTACATAATAATTTTAAATGTTTAGGACTATTTTCTTGGGTAGGTGCTCTGCTAATACGTAGTATAATTTTTACTGCTCAATTAACTTGATTCGCTACAGTCGGGGGTTTTTTTTTTGGAAAATTAGTCTTGAAACTTTCGACAAATCCGGTACTACATTGATCCTATTGTTAACAAATTGATGAATTTCTTTGTACGTACGTACGTACTTCATTCGTTGGTCTCGTCGATATCACTATCAATATAATATATTTTTAATAGTGCCCTCTTTGACATCCAAGCCGATCACTATGCGCATATATTGGCTCTAGTCGTCCACCTTCGCATATATCAACAGAATTATTGATATCTGATATAGTCATCTTCCTTTGTAATCACACGTATCGACAGTATCGAAATTAGATTTATTATACAGTCAGACCTCTCTATAGTCACCTCCTCTATAGTCACATTTACTTATAATCACATAAATTTTTAAAACCAACTTATATAGCACTTATAAAATTTAACCTCTATATAAGCACAAACTCTCTATAAGCACCAAATTCTTAAAACCAAGGGTGTGATTATAGAGAGGTTCGACTGTAATAAATATCATAATATCAATTTTTTAACATCTTTAAACATCTGGAGACTTTCGTTTGATTGGCTGATGTATATCAATTGCCCGGGTAACTAATTTATACGGTTTAAAATACTTTTCCGATTGCAACATTTCACTACTTATGAGAAGTGTTGCCCTTCACTGTACAAAATAATTAGAAGCGAGTTTGACTATGTATATTACTGTAAATTTACATTTCACCAGGCAAAAGTGGAAAAAGGTAATCAAAATCGTAAACTGCAAAAGTTATTAGCCCGACTTACTTTATTTAGAATAAAAAATATCCTACGTACTGTCTACGTATTAGATTGTGTGAAATTATACGTATTACAAAGCGAAGGTAACAAATGTTTTCGTTTAAAAATCTCTTTATTGTATTAAATCTTATTGTTAACTGTTTGATTGAATAGGTACAAGTTTCTAGTAGTTTAATGTTTTAATATTTAAATTTGATCGGTTCTCCTATTCTTGAAACATGTCAACCGAGATTATACGTATTTATCCTCATTCTATTATTTCTTTTTCCTTTTTTATCGTTATTGTATTTTTAACGGATTTTTATAAGTAGATCA